CCTCTCACCCCCCCAAAGCCCCAGGGGCATGAGTGGATGGGATTTGGGGGGACAGACAGGTGGACACCCAGCACCCTGGGATTTATTTGTGTGTAGATTGAGTTCATTCAGCTCTGTAAGCTTAGTCATTCTGGGAAGATTAAATGTGGCTCCTAATCCTCCCAGATCCTGTCAGCAATCTTAGCGTAGCCAAGCACCAGTGTCTGGAGACAGGAAGAGCTGCCTGCTATTTTAATTTAGGAAGTTTCATCAAATGCCACATTTGAAGGATCCCTGGGTATGTTTGCTGTTCGGGAAGCAAGAAAAGGCTGGGATGAGCATGTTTTCCAGGGATTTGGACAGCATGAATTTGCAGTGTGCTGCAGGAGCATTTTTAAGGTGGGAGCATGCAGACTGTGAGTTGTGCCTGTGCAGCGCATGTAGGGAGCACCCTCTGCTGATACCATCCTTGCACATGCACCACTTTGCTTTTATTCCCCTTGGACCTAAGTGTATTTTAGTCAGGAGTTTGGGAGCCATGGAGTCAGACAGGACCTGAATGAGTTTGGGTGATTTTAAAACAGGGATGAGAAAAAAGCACGGAAAAACCAAGGGTAGGACCAGTGCATTAACTAGGAAAATTCTTTTGGCTTCATTCCTCTGTATTTTAACCCTGTTCTAGTCCTTCTTTCTCATACACCCTCATGATAAGCCTGCAATACACAGCTGAGCTCAGCTGGGTCTTAAAATTGCAGAAAATATAACAAAAGGTGCAAAATTAATCTGTTTGGGGCAGGCTACAGTTGAACAGATACCCAGTGATGCTTGCTGTGGATTGATGTAGCCTTCAGAGAGATTTTGGATTTCTTAGGCTGCTCTACCTGTGCTGTGTTCAATAGGCAGCCAATAATGTGTCTGCTGCTGCTAGGTCTCTGCCCAAACCCTAATTTCCATTTTCTCAGTCCCTTCCCCATCTTTTAACAGTGTGGCATATTTATTATGAGGGATACACCCAGCATTACAGTAAAAACAAATTTCTCCATCACATGGCTAAGCGAATGCACATCTTCAATGCTGCTTCTCCCCTGCCCCATCCCTTCTGCCAGGGTAAGGCTGCTGTCACCAACCTCCTTTATACAGCTGAGGTGTTTTGGTAACCTCAGCTGAGGACGTGCAGAAGGTGAGGATTGGATCGATTATGGGGAAAGCATAAGCTTGACATGAGCCATCTCTAGTGTAGTCTTTAAACAGAAGTCACCATCTCTCTTGCTGAATATAAATTGAGGCTGGATGCTTTGCTTCGACAAGGCATTTCAGCTTTAGATCACACAACCTGGGTTACGAATAAAATCTAGCGTCAGGAAGCTAAAATTAAAGACTTAGAGGCACAGATTTTGTCTTCAGGTGCTGTCATCATTCAGAAGCACCCTTACCAGCTTTTTTCAGGACAGCCTGAAAAGTGTGGGCTATGTGGATAGAATCACAGAACAGTTTGGGTTGGAAGGGACCTTAAAGATCATCTAGTTCCAATCCCCTTGCAGGGGGACCTTCCACTAGACCAGGTTGCTCCAAGCCTCATCCAAGATAAGGTCCCTGTGGTCTTTACTGCTCCGCTTTCCCCTCATGAAGAGCCACAGGACATTTCTTACCAGCCTTGGGGTTATCTATGCACCAGTTGGACCTTGTTATCTCTAGTAACTGGCAGAGTCCCAACCTCTGTCACTGTGCTGGGGGAGTTGCTGGCGTTACTGGGTTTTTTGGTTAGCTTAACTAAAATGAGTTACTGGAGAATTAGTTGACCCTTAGGAGCTGTGACTTGGGATGGCTTCATCCCATAGCTCATTCATTCTTACAGTTGCATAAACCCTGACGGGGTTTATTGACGTGTGTTGCGGTTTTTGAGGAAGAACAAGATGTTGCAGTGTGGGGACAACCCATGTTTGCGTGAACCAAGCCCTGCCAGGAATGTTTTCTTTCTTTTCATCAAAGAGTGGTACTATTTGTAACTGGGGATTTTGTGTCATGGCCCATGACATTAAATATATTTTCTGATTTCCAGCAGTCTTGGCTGTTCACTTTGTTTCCATCTGTTGGCTGAAGGAGACAAGAGGGATCGTTAGGGCAAAAGTAAGACATGGCCAAATGGCCCAAAGCCAACGCTCTCTCCTTTTTTGAGAGACTTCTCTGTCCCATGCCTTGGCCCTCTATTCTCTGCCCTTGGGTAACCTTAAGTAAGAGGGAGGCCACTGCTGAGGTCAGGTTCACCAGAGGACTGTGTTCCACCTTCTGCCCTGCCAAGCAACATGGTAAGTCACTGGATAAAGGAAGTCCTACAAAAAGCAGCATCACACAAGAACAAGAGAAAACATGGGTATTTTTGAGCTTCCATCCTTATCCAGCTTTGGGAGGGAGGGTGAAGAAGTCTCATCCTAACTCAAATTAAACCCACTGTCTGGTCAGACTCCCTGATACTTGCTCCAAACACAGCTCTGACCTGTCATAGAGGCATGTGGAGAAAACCCCAGTGCCCAAAGTCCGCTTTCCCTAGCTCTAGCCATTGCTGGGACCCAAACCCCATCTTCCTTGGCAGCTGCTGGCAGCACTCAGATATTTGCTCTTCCTTTGTTCTCCCATCCAGACACCCTTGGGTGGGCTACCTGCTTCTCTTCGCCTTGCACAATTTCAATTTCTCCATCTTTGCATATGGCTGGGTGTCTGGGTATCTCTACTGGGTGTCATCCCACAGAGAAACTGGATGCATGTTTCATCCTGCAAGAGATGCTCTTTGGAGGTGCCTGGTGGATAGCAAGGGACATGAAGATTTGTAGGACAAAGCTGAAAGGGTGTTTATCCTACTTAAGAGAAGATTAGTGAACATAACGCCCTTGGAAACAAAGTTTGGGGCCACAGCAGGATAGAAATATAACAACAATTCAGCTGGGGAGACTTTAAATAAAGAAGGCTCAAGCTTGCTGACCAGCTTTCCTGACTACATCCTCCTCTGCTCTGCAAATGGCTGCGGGGCTGATGCCACGCTACTCCCTGTCTCCCACCACACAGAATCATAGAGTCACATGTTCATCTATGCCTAAGGACGCAACGTCATGGCATGTCAGTGCTCTCCCTGACTACATGTCCTCCGGCATGGCAAGCACTGTGCAGTGCCCATACACATCTTGACTTGACTTGGTCTAATTCCTCACTTAACAACTCTTAATCCCTCCAGCCCTGCAAACATTGGTGGCTGGGTATTACTTCATCTCCAGGGCATGCTGGAGCACCCAGCCCTCCAACCCTTTGGGCTCAGGAGGAATTTTACTTTCCTCAAGCATTAGTGCAGCAGCTTCACACAAGGAACCACCCGTCCTCTCTTCTGTGATTTGGGGCAGGACAGTCCAGTCTATAGGGAACAACCAGGGAACCCCAGCCACATCTCAAGGGGTGAATTAAAGCAGCCTTGTTAAACCAGTGCTGAACTCCTGTGCAGATACAGTCACTCAGAAGCCCTAATTCCAATTAGCTTAATTCCACTCCAAAATGAATTTAAAACAAAACAAAGCAAAACAAATACCAAACAAAGGCCACTTTAATTCCAGCTAAGAGCATCTACTTGGGATGTTAACTAATCCAGTTTAAAATTGATTTGGATTAATCTGCTCGCCAGTATGTGAGCTCTTAGCAGAGCTCCTGAAAGTCTGCGTGTGCATTTCCCTAACACAGCTGACAGTGCAGGAAGCAGGTCGCACCACTTCTCCACAGGAGCTCAGGGAACTGGGGTGGGTTTCACCCATGTCTTGGACTCACATCTGAGTAAGAATAAAGGGGAGTTTTTGCTACAGGGTGATCACTGTGAGCACTGAACAACTGTGGCTATCAAAATATTTCTCCAGGAAGGAAAAACATAAAGTAGACCTCATCCTTCAAAGCACAAATTTAAGTTCATTGGTTAGGAAGGCCAAGATCACCCCAGATCTGGGATACGGAAGGCCTCCTAACGCCTTTGACAAAAGGTCTTTACCACTGTCACCAGCCAAGACATAAGTGAACATCCCAAGGGGAAGCTCAGGGAAGCCAGCAAACCTATGGCTCAGTTTGGAGAGCACAACCCTGAGCTGATAAGAGCTCTTTGCCTTTGGACCATAGGTCATGCACATTAATTTGGCATCTCTGTGATGGCTCCGAGATGAGAAATCACTCTGGTCTTACCAAGAAAACTTCAAGCCAAGCACTTGTTCACTTAGATGTTGATGCACAGACCGGCTTGGCTGGACTCTTGAGTCCTCTGACAATTATTAAAGGTTCAACTCACCCAGAAAGACCAGAGCAGCAGATGCCATCCGGTGGGTGTGGAAATGACAGCCTGGCCAATCCAGGAGGGAGGAAAGTCCCCCCTCTCTGCACCTCAACCCTGGCCTCGTAAAGCACTTTGGGGCTGGAGTGCAGGAGGGAGCAGGGCTGTGTTGTATCAGGCATTAACTATCTGGCAGTTTGAGAATGGAGGTTGACCTCTGGCAGGAGAAAAGGAAAGAAATGAATAAACAGTAGGAACAATCCAGGTGGGAGGACCGAGTTTCTGTGTTACTTTCCAAAAGGAGAAAGGTGGTTTACAGTCCATGGGCCTGACCTACGGCATAAGAGACTTGCCCAAGTCTGTCATCCAAAGGTGAGCAGACACTGACAAAACAGGGACATTCTTGCTCCTTCTTTTCTTCTGCCCTGGAGGGACACCAGTCTACAAAGCTGAAAGAGGGAAATAATTCAGCTCAGTCATTCCTTCCCCTTTCACTGGTGTGAGCACCAAGTCAGCAGCTGGATGCCTCCTAGGGAAGGTTTTTAAAGATGTGTGATATCTTAGCACAAGTGAATCTCCTGTTGAAGCAGTCCACATGGCTCAGCAGATACCCTGAATTTGGCTCTTCATTAGCAAGGAGGATGGTGTGACCTTGGGGTGCAGCCAGGCATTGAGCCCCGCAGTCACCCCCCCTTCTTCATACCCTGCATGCACACAGATGGAGATTTAGTGGTTTCCAATACACCCGAGCATCTCGCCTCCCTGCTTATAAATCACGCAGAGATGAAAGCCTGTTTGGAAGCCGAAGATGAATGCAGGAAACATTGATGCAAGCTGAAATAACGCAAAAATGAACAAATGGTGGCACTTAGTAATTCGGCCATCTGCCCCTCTTCCTGCCCAGGCACCTCCAGACATGGAGAGTGGTGGGACTCTTGTTTGTCTGTTCCCCTCATTAGGAGCAAGCGCTTGAATGGGCACATGTGTACAGTCAACAGTGCCTTAGGACAGATGGGAAATTAGCCACGATGGAAGAAGTTAAAATACACCCTCGTGATTAACTTGTGGTCCTGGCTGCTTCTAGGAAAACACATGCACCATCAGCTGCTCCCCGAGTGCATGTGGGACTGGGGTGCTCGGAGGGGCAAACACCAAAATACACAGGGCTTTGATTCTTCTTGAGCACAAGTGCATTTGAGCTGTTTGGAAATCCATGGTGGCTCTGTGATGGCTAACCTTGGAAAGGTTCATCCTTCCCCGGTGCTGTGAGCATCCTCAGCACTCACAGAAAATGTGCAGAGGCATCAGTGATCAGTTTTGACTGCTTCTGCCTAGGTTATGGATGTGCTGGCTGATGTTGGCATGGCAGGGTCTTCTCAGTGCCATAGCTGGAGAGTGGGTTTGTCACACCAGCCCCACTCCTCTGGGCAGCCCATAGCAAGTGTAACCTACTGAGTCCAAACCCTGGTTGTCCCTTATCACCCTTCAACCATCCCCTCTTCTGCTGTGGCACACGTTCCCCATGGAGCACCTCCCAGTCTCCAAACCCACCTTTGGATTGGCTGAGTGTTTCAGCTAGCTGCTTAGCCAGCTCTGAAGGGCTGGTCATGTGTGCAGTGCACCGGCAATCCATGCTGTCCAGCTCTAAAGGGTGGACATGGGCATTCCCCATTCCATCCCCCTGGTAAAATTCCAGCAACCTTGGGCAGACATCCACTGCATTTTGATGGATGAGAAGGCTCAGGGGAGACCTTATCATTCTCTACAACCCCCAGAAGGGAGGGTGCAGAGGGTCGGGTTGGTTTCTTCTCCCAAGTGACAAGTGATAGGACAAGAGGAAACAGCCTCAAGTTGTGCCAGGGCAGGTTTAAATTTAATATTAGGGAAAATGTCTTCTCAGGAAGGGCTGTCAGGCATTGGAACAGGCTGCCCAGGGAGGGGGCAGTCACCATCCTGGGAGGGGTTTAAAAGCCATGTGGATGAGGTGCTTTAGTGGTGGTATGAGCAGTGTGGGGTTAACAGTTCGACTCGATAATCTCAAAGGTCTTTTCCAACCTAAAAGATTCTATGACTATGGGTTACCCGGGCACCTAGCACAGGCACAAGCAGCTGAGTTCCAGCAGGCTTTCCCAAGTGGATAGTAAATCATCAGCTTGTTCTCTGTTAGATGTCTGGGAGCTGGACTCACCTTACCATGTACGACAGCATCCTTGACTCGCCCGACACATACTTCAGGAGAGGACAGATGTTGGGTCCACACCGTGTTGTTGAGCGGGGATGTGTCCCTGTGCCAGGATGTAGCTTTACATGGATCCATACCAGAGTGATTCTGCATGCTCTTTGCTGTTTTAGTTGTTGGGTGGATTGGGGGTGGGTGGAAATAATCAACCTTTCCTCACTTTTTAGCTTTTTTTCTTCCATATTAGAAAATGTGTTAGAGGCCATTTTAAACAAAGTAGGTTCGCAGCAGCATCTAGGCCAGGTCAAGGCAACATGAGGAACTGTGCCATTGGAAATGTCATTTTGGGCCAATGGGTAGTAAGAGATGGAAATACATCTCAGTGAAAAATGATTGAGTTGTTCAAGTTGACCTTTTCCAACCGAAGACAGGAGGGTGACAGGGACGCCCCTCCAGGAATCCCTTACCTGCTCTCCATAGCCAATACCCTAAGGTGACAGCACTAACTCATGGCCCCTTTTTGATTCCATCCCTGTGTCCAGCTGGTGAAGACGGCAGAGCTGGACCCTAGGCAGAACTATCTGATGGGATTTCACCCCCATGGAGTTCTGGCAGCAGGAGCCTTTCTCAATTTCTGCACAGAGGCATCAGGCTTTTCCACGCTCTTCACCCACACCTGATGATGCTCTCCCTGTGGTTTCGCATCCCATTCTTCAGGGACTACCTGATGAGTGGAGGTAAGCAGGGCAGCGTCATAGACCAATCCCTCTGGCAAGTGGTGGGATGGGTGGGTACTTTTTTGGGGAGCAGAGAGTAAAGATGACAAGGAAAGAGGAGTCAAAGATCTGTTTGTCTCTGTCTGTGGCCAATTGGATCCCAGGCATGCTCTCCCTGTGGTTTCGCATCCCATTCTTCAGGGACTACCTGATGAGTGGAGGTAAGCAGGGCAGCGTCATAGACCAATCCCTCTGGCAAGTGGTGGGATGGGTGGGTACTTTTTTGGGGAGCAGAGAGTAAAGATGACAAGGAAAGAGGAGTCAAAGATCTGTTTGTCTCTGTCTGTGGCCAATTGGATCCCAGGCATGGACACAGCTATTGGAGGTGGAACCCAAAAACTCTCCGAAGTTAAAAATTGCTCTCCTAGCTGTTATCTCTGTTCAACATCATATTCAGCTTCATCGCTGTGCCAAGTGCTGTGTAACAGCAAAATGTAGGGCGAATTGTGACCAGAAGTGCTGACACCAGCAGGGCAGGATGGTGTTGTGTTTTCCTTCTTTCCGTGCAAATAACATTCAGGCTTGAATTTGTGGTTGCCACTGAAAGAAGGAGAAAACCTCATTGTCCAAAGCTGCTGCTGCTTGCTAGGAAGCAGCATCCAGGGAGAGAGGATGCAAATGTTGCAAAACCACGTGGCAGGAGAGGAAGAAGAAATGAAAAGGAATAGGTAAAAAATAAATGGAGAGGGGGGAAAGGGAGTCTGTTGAGATCTGCAGACCAGCAGACCTCCATCTCTCACCATTGTGCTTGGAGATTGGCCACTTGTCCAGCCAAACGGGCTTCTGTCATAGGCAGGATTCCATAGACGAGGCACCCAGCTCCATCTGAGATAGCCCAGGGCATTCATCACCCTGTTTTCCATGTAAACCCTGGCTCCAGCTGCTGAAAAATATTTACATGGAGAGTGAAGAATCATAACAGTGAGATATGAGAGAGTTATGACCAGGCAAAAGAAGATTTAATCACTGTAATGTGGGAGTTTGGCACATAGCTCATTTTCAAGTCGATCGAATCCATTTGACAAAGAGATTTTAATTTGCAAGTTATTTCAGACCCTGAAACAAGGATTTTTTTTTTCATCAAAACAACCTTACTTTTTTATTTCTGAATTAAAAGTTTCTAGCTTTTGTAAGTAAATAACAACAAGGCACCAAATTCCACATTAAATTCCACTTTAAACTAGCAGCATCCACTGAAATTTGTGTGTGTTTTCACCTGAAGAAAATGTTTTACTGGCTCTGGAATGATTCAGGGTTGGATATGGCTTCATCTGACAACAGACCAAAACAGATTTTCCCTTAGGCTTAAGGGCAGCTAGTTCTCAGTTCACTTTTTTCCTGTTTCGGTTTTTTTCCCGTTTCTTACTTCTGGGCCAGACAGCAAAGGGATAATTGTATATTCACACAGCAGATCTGTGCATGGATCCATCACCTTTCAGAGGAGCTGGGCTGGGCTTGCCAAAGTGCAGGAAAACTCTGAAAACAAGTGTCTGGCACCACTCTGGAGCTGGATAATAGGGAAAAAGGTACGGAGCAGACCACAGCCGTGTGGGTTTTATAGATGCTCATTTTTTCTTCCTCCCTGCCCTCCAGGACTTGTCTCCTCCTCCAAGGAGAGTGCATCCTACGTGCTGCAGAGGCCGGAGGGTGGGAATGTGCTGGCCATCATCGTCGGCGGGGCCCAGGAGGCGCTGGATGCCCGGCCGGAATCCTGCACCTTGCTGCTGAAGAACAGAAAGGGATTTGTCCGCCTGGCCATTGAGCACGGGTGATGCAGGGGATGGGCTGAAGAGGCACTCAGGGAGGGATGCTCTGGTCTGTGGCTGGTTAATGGGGTGTTTCTGCTGGTTTTGGAGAGGAGGAAAAGGTGGTTTTGGATGGGCTTTACTAATCATACCCCTACATTGGGTTTGGGTCCCCACAGCACCCCGCTGGTCCCCATATTTTCCTTCGGGGAGAATGACCTCTTCAAGCAGGTGAGAAACCCTAAGGGGTCTTGGCTGCGACAGCTTCAGCACCGGCTCCAGCAGATCATGGGCATCTCCCTACAGGCGCGAGGCATCTTCCAGTACAGCTTTGGGCTGTTACCTTACCGGCGGCCCATCTGTACCGTGGGTAAGTCTTTGCTCAGCATGCTGGCACGATGCTGGCCACACTCAGCCTGGCCAAAGGGGGACAAGGGACAGTCCCTGGGCTGTGTCATCCTCCTGCCAGGCTGAGGCATCAAGCCGAAGAGTACAAGTTGTGAGGGGGATAGAAACATGCTGTCAAAGGAGCATCCCCAACTTCTCCCATGTCATGATTGTTTGGGACTCTGGCTTGGTCTTACGGCAAAGCCCAGGTCATGCGCTGTGCTGAGAAAGCCCCAGAGCAAACATGGCCACCTCATCACTCCCATGGGATGCAGCTAGACCCAACCCCAGCACAACCCCTGCAATAGCGTTGGGTTAGAACCCAATTTCACAAATACAGGTAGGACAATACCTAAGTAGTTTGCAGGTTTGCTCAGCATCCAGTGCGCACGGAGCCACGAAACCCAACCTGTTTGGACATGAACAAGGGGAGCCATTTCAACCAGAGACCATGCCCATGGGAGACCAAATTTCAAGAAAGTCTCGTTTTGAAGAAGTTTCACCTGATTTCAACAACTCCATGCAGGGCCTACTTGCGGCTGATGCTTTATGAATTAGTCTAATTAAAGAGGCTGTTTGGAAAGGTCAGAGCTCACCCCACTGATTAGGTTTGACAGCCAGCAATTAATTCTAATGGTTTTACAACCTGTTTGGATTGTCTCAATGGTCTTATGTGTTGTGCAATATCACAAGGGCTCTTCATTAGTCCAATGAGGAGCAGCATTACATGATGATGAAACCTTCTGTCACTTGTCAAACACAATTTGAGTAAGAGACCAGAGCAAGAGAGGTATCTCATGGACTTCCCTGTCCCCTGCAGATACATGGTACTGCTGCTTGTGGCTCTGAGAGAAGGGAAGGGCTTCTTCCACTGATGCAAGTCACTTAGATTTGCCCTTAGAAAAAGCATGATTTCCTAAAGATATGTGGGAACTTGGTGCCTCATAAAAATCAGATGTTTCTCAGAAGCACTCCAATCACTAGTGTATTTAGATTGTCTTGGGCTTCCCCATGCCTCAGTTTCCCCATTTTCAATGCAGATTCCAAGGGCCATGTGGGAACAGCTTGGAATACCCAACCCAAATATTAGGATTATGTTGTCTTTACTAACAGCACACCCGACATGTTAGGAGCAGCGGTAGGGATTGCACTGGGATGCAGTAGTTTTTACTTCAAAGAGCTACACAGGGGGTCTTTGGCATTAACCAACTTTGCAGATGGGGAAACTGAGGCAAGGAGACATGTGACCAGGCCAGGATCTGAGCCTCCATCTCCTTACCTTCTTGGCTGTGTTACCTCCTAAACCTCAGGACATGACTGGTCCTATGGATCCATCCACCAGTCCTTGGAAAGGTGGACCCCAGCTCTGTGCTAAGATGTGCAAAGTATTCAGAGGGACCTGTAACTGGCTCCTCCTGATGCCTGTCCTTGTTTTCCAGTTGGGAAGCCAATTCCAGTGCAGAGGAAGCACAGACCTTCTGAGGAAGAGGTTAATCAAATCCATCAGAAATACCTAAATGAATTGTGCAAGCTCTTTGAGGAGCACAAAGCTAAATATAACATCCCAGAAGACAGACACCTGGAATTTATATAGACCTTCTCAAGCAAGGTGAAACCATGGAGATCACACTCCAAGTTTTCCCCTATCTCTGGAACTATTTCACCACCTCACCTTACTCACAGTTAACATACTTCCATATGGTACAGGGAGGACGTGATTTTCCCAGCATTTGCATGGGCTTAAAGATGGAGTTTTCATTTTAGTCTGTGTAGAGCACATAAGAAATATAAAGAAGATGGAAAAAAAAATCCAGCTGTGCTCAGCACTGTTGACATTCCCCAGCTGAAAACTTACCTTTCCAGTCTGTATTGGAGGCCAGTATTTGAAGATATTTCCAGGCAGGGTTGAATTATTGAAAGTTTCCTTTGCATTATTTTCATTCAGAAATGGGATGATGAGCAATAATTTCTGCTGAATGTATGTATTTTTTAAAATATAATTTGTCTAGATAAACAAATGATCATGGTTTGTTTGGCGCTCTGTGTGTCTTTAATTTCTCTGGGGTCTTTTCTCCTCACCTGAAACACAGTTTATCTGAAAGCTCATACTCCTGGCATGGTGCTGGTCTCCCTCAGCAGCACCACAATGCCATAACCCACTGGGGTGAAAGAAAGTCTTTAATAGTAAGACCAGTTGTTCTCTGGGTACCCAACCCCCTGAGCTGGAAGACGGGGATGTAGAGCAGGATGAAGCCTCCACAATCCAAGGGGAAAAGGTTAGTGACCTGTTACAGCACTTAGACACGCACAGGTCTATGGTACCGGATGGGATCCACACAAGAGTGATGTGGGAGCTGGTGGAGGTGCTCACCAAACCACTTTCCATCATCTATCAGCAGTCCTGGATAACTGGGGAGGTCCCAGTTGACTGGAGATTGGCCAGTGTGACGCCCATCTACAAGAAGGGCTGGAAGCTGGATCCAGGGAACTACGGGCCTGTCAGTCTGACCTCAGTGCCAGGGAAGGTTCTGGAGCAGATCATCTTGAGTACCATCACCTGGCCTGTACAGGACCACTAGGTCATCAGGCACAGTCAGTGTGGGTTTATGAAAGGCAGGTCCTGACTGATGAACCTGATCTCCTTCTGTGACGAGGTGACCTGCTCAATGGGCAAAGAAAAGCGATGGATGTAGTCTACCTGGACTTTACTAAAGGCTTTGACACCCACAGTACCTCCTGGAGAAACTGGCTGCTCATTCCTTGGGTGGGTGTACACTTTGTTGTGTAAAACACTGGCTGGATGGCTGGGCCCAGGGAGTGGTGGTGAATGGAGTTAAATCCATTTGGCAGCCGGTCACATGTGGTGTTTGCTCCCCAGAGTCAGTGCTAGGGACGGTCCTGTTTAATATCCTTATTGATGACTTGGACGAAGGGACTGAGTACACCCTCAGTCAGTTTGGGGATGACACCAAGTTGGGGGGAGTGTTGATCTGCTGAGGGCAGGACGCACCTGCAGAGGGATCTGGACAGGCTGGATCGATGCAACGAGGCCACTGTGTGAGGTTCAACAAGGCCAAGTGTTGGGTCATGCACCTGGCACACAACAACCCCCTGCAGCACTCCAGGCTTGGAAAAAAGGGGCTGGAAAGCTGCCTGGTGGAAAAGGACGTAGGGGTGTTGGTTGACAGTGGCTGAACAGGAGCCGGCATGTGCCCAGGTGGCCAAGAAGGCCAGTGGTGTCCTGTCCAGCATCAGGGACAGTGTGGCCAGCAGGACCAGGGCAAGAACTGTCCCCTGTGCTGGGCATTGGTGAGGCCGCACTTCAAATCCTGGGGTCAGTTTTGGGCCCCTCAAGGCAAGAAAGACACAGAGAGGCTGGAGCATGTGTGGAGAAAGGAATGGAGCTGGTGAAGGGGCTGGAGCACAAGTCCTGGGGAGAGAAGCTGAGGGAGCTGGGGGGGTTCAGCTTGGAGAAGAGGAGGCCCAGGGGAGACCTTATTGCTCCCAGAACTCCCTGAAAAGGGGGTGCAGAGTGGGGAAGTTGGTCTCTTCTCCCAAGGCACAGGTGATGGGACAAGAGGAAACAGACTCAAGTTGTGCTGGGGGACGTTTAGATTGGATGTTAGGGAACTTATCTACCCAGAAAGGGCTGTCAGGATTGGAAGGGGCTGCCCAGGGAGGTGGTGGACTCACCATCCCAGTAGGGATTTAAGAGCTGTGTGGACGAGGTGCTCATGGACATGGTTCAGTGGTGGTATGAGCACTGTTGGGTTGACAGTGGGACTTGATGTTCTTAAACATCTTAAACATCTTAAATGTTGGCAGGTGATCCAGGCTTTAAATAGCTGCCTCTTCTTGATAACCAGAACTTTATTAAACTCTGCACTTAATGGGATTTTGCAACATGGAAGTTTTAGGTGGCAGGACGTCATCTGCTCAGATCAGCTTTACATCACCCCTATAGAGCTCTTTACCATCAAAGTCTTCTCTCTCTTCCTTCATTTCTCTCTCTTGTCCCCACATTCCATTCCTTACCTGCAAGGATATATCAGAAACCTTGCAGAGTGTGTACACTTCATTGCACCTGGGATTTTTGTTACTACATCTGCAGGATTTGCATTTAGCAAGGAAAATGCACAGATCTGTTTCTAACCTGACAATACCAGGGCCGTCATTGTGTTTCGTTTTCTTTCCCTTTCCTCCTGTCCTAATAAAATTACTTCACCATATTCTTAATCTGAATGACCAGCTGCGAATCCCTCCTATTCGCAGAAAACAGGCAGCAACAGGAAAGAATTTGATGGATCCCTTATCGACATTTCAACACACTTCTGTAATCCCACACTTAATCCAGTCAAATAAAGCAGGTCACCTGCTATGATTTCTTGCTTGTTGTCTATTAATAGACTTTTTCTTCTGTACTCAATTAAGGACAGAGGTGCCTAAGGAAAAGGGTTATTTATGCACCAGGAAAATAAAAATAATTCTCTTCCACGATTTGCTGTTCATCACCATCCCATCTTTACCCTTACTCCATTTTTTTCTTCCCCTATCCCTTCCTCTGCCTTCCTTGTTCTTGGCCATGCCACTTGCAGATCCCAGGAACATTGCCATGGCCTTCAAACATCCCTACAGCATCAGTGCTGGAGGGGAGGGATGGCGATGTCTCCAGGGACACAGCAAAGGGCACTGTGAGGATGGGGGAGGTCACCAGGGCTGAGGACAATGAGCTGAGATATTGATGCAATGGGAAAAAGATTAAAGGTGCTGCTGTTGAGGTGGGAATCAGTAGTGCCTGAGGGAGAGGATTTGGGGAGATGCAGATTTGTGGTTGGATATGCTGGGATGAAAGACATGGGGTGGCAGCAGGATACAAGGTCCAGTATTCAAGGCATGGACAAGTCTTTCCCTCTGGGCACCTGACACAACGATGCCTTAAATGCCAGAGATGCACCTACCTAGGAGGTGGGATGGTCTATCGACTTCATGATGGTGGACCTGATGGTGATGCCATCCTGGAAGAGAGAAAAGGCAGAAAAACAGTGATCAGGAAAAAAGTACCAGGGAGGAATAGGGAGGAGGATGCTGGAGCAGTCTGAAGGCTGATGGGACAGTCAAGGGCATGCAAGACCCGAAGGAAAAGGAAGACCACAGTGCTAGAGAAGAGGGTCAGGAGAGTGCGTTGGCTGTATATAATTGGTTTCCCTCGAGGTCAGTTTTATCTCACAGACTGGAATGTGTCCTCGATCCCTCAGGGACCTATATAACCCAGGAGAGGTCAGTGCCTGGATTTGTGTTAAATATAACATTAAGAATAATAATTCATGGGCATCCTCACAGCCAGGGCTATTCCAGGGGCTTAGAGTGATGCGAGGTCTCATCTTCTTGAGAGGCCAGAGCTGCCTCCCAGCAAAAAGCTGCACAATGAGAAGCTTTTGTGCTATTTCAGCCTTGTACTGAGCTGTCTGGAAGATTAAAACTCTTCTGAAGCAACACAAGGCAGGAGAAACCTTAAGAAAAGAGGAGTGTCCAGATCAGCCAGTCAAACCAAACTACATTTGGGTTTGGGCTCTGCAACTTGGGACTGGAGCTGCTGGAAACACAAATGCTAGGACTGGGGGACATCCAAGCTGTTGTCCCAAAATAAGGACCATTTAAAGTTAAAACAACACAGCGTGTTTCCTTTCAGCACGTCCACCTCCTATTTCTGTGACTGGCTTTCACTGAAGAAACAAGCCCAAGGACAAGGGATAAACTCATTGCCTCTCTTGCAGAAAATTCAAATTTCAGCCTTTTTGGGACTTATGTGGAAATTTCAAATTGGAAAATATGGTAAAAAACCCCCAACTGTACTGATTCTGTATTCCCCCTCCTGACTGACTCCTCCTCCGACTGCTTCCCTGATGATCTCTCCAGTATTTCTATTGCGAGAGGCTCTAATCTGGATTTGCCTTACTTAGTGAGTTCAGATCATGAGGCTCGCAAGAAAACCTCTGACAACTGATGAATACAAAATACAGACTAATTCCTGAAGAGGAGGAAAGCCAAGCAAAAGGCTTTTTTTGCCCTTCTGTAGCTCTAGTCCAGCAAAAATGTTTTACTGCCCTGGGAATGGGGTTAAAAGGTTGCTTGCTGTTGTGGCAAACAACTAGAAAATCGTGTGGTTTTCTGCTCAGGGAAAGATTTCCTGCTTTTAATTTAATAAAGACCCAAAATGTGGTATGTTGAACATCCCACCCTCACTCCACAAAGTTTTTTCCTTTTCAAGACAGGAAATAAAATTCCAAATGCATCTGAAACTCATCATTTTGCTTTCAAAAACATTTAAAGCATTTTAAAAACAACCAAAACCACAGGTCTCCCCAGGAATGTGGACACTTTTCGTTCTGTCTGATTCAAACCCAATGAGATGCTTTTCTGTGTCTCCCATCACCATCCCATCAGGTTGCTCCAAGCCTCATCCAGCCTGGCCTTGAACACTTCCAGGGATGGGGCATCCACAGCTTCTCTGGGCAACCTGTCCCAGTGCCTCCCCACGCTCTGTGGGAAGAATTTCTTCCTGATGTCCCATCTCAATCTCCCTCTTCCCATTCA